GTGTTTCCTTGACTGATGAAGCCATCCGGATCAAAGGCGAAATGTTTAAGCACAAAAAAAGTAACTGTCCAGATGACCTGATTGAAAAATGTTAGATTGTATACCTAGATTATTTAGCATGGACTTTGTTGTTTTCAACCAGTTTGACAAGACTGTCAACATGGAAGAGGGCCAGCAATGGAGTAGAGGGCGTACCAAAGAGACCATCTTATCACAAGCAGAACTGGTTTGTTACACTTTTGAGTAAGCTGTTGGGGGAAGAATATTTTTTTATTTTGTGTTTCCTTGCCTGATGAAGCCTTCTGGATCAAAGGCGAAACGTTTCAGCACAAAAAAAAAAAACAGTCCAGATGACCTGACTGAGAAGTGTTGGATTGTATACTTGGATTTATGAGCATGGACTTTGTTGTTGCCAACCAGTTTGACAAGACTGTCAACAAGGAAGATGGCCGGCAATGGAGGAGGGGGGGTACCAAATAGACCATCTTATCTCAAGCAGAACTGGTTTGTTCCACTTTGGAGTAAGCTGTTGGTGGGGGAAATCAGATTTGTTGTGTGTTTCCTTGACTGATGAAGCCTTCCGGATCAAAGGTGAAATGTTTCAGCACAAAAAAGAAACTGTCCAGATGTCCTTCCATAAAAATGTTGGATTGTATACCTGGATTTATGAGCATGGACTTTGTTGTTTTCAACCAGTTTGACAAGACAGTCAACAAGGAAAAGGGCCAGCAATGGAGGAGGGGGGTACCAAAGAACCCATCTTATCTCAAGCAGAACTGGTTTGCTCCACTTTGGAGTAAGCTGTTGGGGGAAAAATCAGATTTGTTGTGTTGTTTCCTTGATTGATGAAGCCTTCCGGATCAAATGCGAAATGTTTCAGCACAAAAAAGAAACTGTCCAGATGACCTGCCATAAAAATGTTGGATTGTATACCTGGATTTATGAGCATGGACTTTGTTGTTTTCAACCAGTTTGACAAGACTGTCAACATGGAAGAGGGCCGGCAATGGAGGAGGTGGCGTACCAAAGAGACCATCTTATCACAAGCAGAACTGGTTTGCTACAATTTAGAATAAGCTTTTGGGGGAAGAATCAGTTTTCTTGTGTGTTTCCTTGACTGATGAATTCATCGGGATCGAAGGCGAAATGTTTCAGCACAAAAAAGTAACTGTCCAGATGACCTGACTGAAAAATGTTGAATTGTATATTTGGATTATTGAGCATGGACTTTGTTGTTTTCAACCATTTTGACAAGACTGTCATCAAGGAAGAGGGCCGGCAATGGAGGAGGGGGCAGACCAAAGAGATCATCTTATCACAATAGAACTGGTTTGTTACATTTTGGACTAAGCTGTTGGCTGAAGAATAATTTTTTATTGTGTTTCCTTGACTGATGAAGCCTTCTGGAATGAAGGCGAAACGTTTCAGCATTAAAAAAACTGTCCAGATGACCTGACTGAGAAGTGTTGGATTGTATACCTGGATTTATGAGCATGGACTTTGTTGTTGCCAACCAGTTTGACAAGACTGTCAACAAGGAAGAAGGCCTGCAATGGAGGAGGGGGCGTACCAAAGAGACCATCTTATCACAAGCAGAACTTTTTTGTTCCACTTTGGAGTAAGTTGTTGGGGGGGAAGAATCAGTTTTCTTGTGTGTTTCCTTGTCTGATGACTCCGTCAGGATCCAAGGCGAAACGTTTAAGCACAAAAAAAAGTAACTGTCCAGATGACCTTACTGAAAAATGTTGGATTGTATACCTGGATTTATGAGCATGGACGTTGTTGTTTTCAACCAGTTTGACAAGACTGTCAACAATTAAGAGGGCCGGCAATGGAGGAGCGGGCTTACCAAAGAGACCATCTTATCACAAGCGGAACTGGTTTGTTCCACTTTGGAGTAAGCTGTTGTGGGAAGAATGAGTTTTGTTTTGTGTTTCCTTGACTGATGAAGCCTTCTGGATTGAAGGCCAAATGTTTCAGCACAGAAAAGAAACTGTACATATGACCTGACTGAAAAATGTTGCGTTAACGTTATCTGTTCATGGTCAAAGTTTCACAACATCATTATTAAACATGAAATCATTTGTAACTATATTTAAAAACAGCTTTTAAACAATTTTTGAAACTAGTACCTGAGACAAGTGAGGTCAGAGCCAAAGTTTTAGAAGCAGGTCCCAGTCACATGGACGCCTGGCACTTCATGATTTTATACTCGGCTTGGGCACATGCCTGTCTTAACTTTTATTCTTTAGTAGGCACACTGCAGTGAAACACTGTGGACAGAAAGTACATCTGATGTTCTGCACAGTCTCCAGACACTTTAAACTGATTGAGCCTCCTGATGACAAGCGAAACATCTTCAGCTTCAATAGAAGTCTGGCTGTTTTTCTTTTGAACCCTTTTTTACGACTCAGTCTTCACCAGCAGATGTTAAGTGTCTTGTAAATATATAAAAATATTTTAAAATCATTTTTTTTGGGAACAGAAAAGCTTTTAGTAAATGTTTGCTTTAGTTGTTGATGGCCTCATCGTATCTTTCCAGATCGTGAGGTGTAAGTAAAAAATGTTTTTCTGCGTTTAAACTTTGAATGACTCTTTCCTGTGTTCCTCTTTTTCAGATCATGTAAAGTGGAACCATGAGAAACCATAATAAAAGAAGTTGTCCACATCAGAGGACTGATGAAGACAGAGGGACGTGGACAGACATGAACAGAGGACGTCCGTGCTCCGAGTGATTCCAGAGGATCATGTCCCTGAGGCTGGACTGATAACGGGAAGTGGACAGTGTTTGGATCACTTCCGTGAACTGCAGGCATGCTCACTTCTTGCCTCTGACAGCACCCAGTGATTGGACCGAGTGAACGAGTGCAGTGATGTAAGAACACGTTTCTCTGGTGAACGGGTCATGACAATCAGAACTGCGCTGTGATTCAGGCCACACCATGCGGCTTTCAGAGGGAGCAGGTGAAACCTGTAACTTTTGATCCACTCCTGCACAACAACACAGAACTTCACCGTTTTTTTTAACGAAGGTTGAGGCTCTGCATTGTCATCATGCCACGGAACCCAGCGTTTTCAGAACCAGAGTTTTCTGTGGAGTATTCAGCAGACTGCTCCGTGACATTGCCCTCTGACCCCGGCCAGGCTGTGGGGCGAACACATGAGGTGACGGTGAGAAGCTCTGGATGCTGCCTGTGCTTGCCGCGCTTCATGCGTCTCACCTTTGCACCCGAGTCTTTGGAGAACCTCTACCAGACCTACTTCAGGCGGCAGAGACATGAGACCCTGCTGGTTCTGGTGGTGTTTGCAGCCCTGTTTGACAGCTACGTCCTCATCACGTGCGCGGTGGTCTACACCTCTGACAGGCTGGCCTCTGTTTTAGTAGCATCAGTGGGACTTACTGGGGATATTATTCTCTACCTGCTGTGCCGCTTTGGATTGCTTCCAGACCGGATCACACGGCGAGTGGTACCGTTCGCCCTCTGGGTGCTCATAGCGGTCCAGATTTTCTGCTACTTAGGCCTGAACTATGCTCGCTTCCACCAGGCCAGTGACACGGTAGGCTGGCAGGCGTTTTTCAGCTTTTCTTTCTTTCTTACTCTGCCTTTGAGACTCACACCCATTGTGCTTATCACCGCCGTGTCCTGTGGGGTCCACACCCTGGTTCTTGGGGTCACTATTGCACAGCAGCAGCAGCAGCAGCAGGACATCGAGGGGGCAGCACTCACCAGACAGGTGAGTCGGAGGGGGAATAAATGAGGGGAGGTATTTGTAGATCTCTACATATGTTATGAAGATGTCCAACTGGCGGCTCATATTCAAATGTGTCCTTTAATTCTTTCACTTATTACTGTGTGTATGTGTTTGAGGGAGAATGTTAATTTATCTGTAGCATTAGCAAAATATCTTGTGAATCATTTAAGAAATTTTTATTGACACTTTTAAAATATTATTGATGCATGAGTCTAGAGCTGACTACCTTTGGGAGTCACTTTGTTTCAAGTTGGCCGCCACAGGAAAATGATCTTGGCCATCACAAAAATGGCTATAGGTTCAATGTTCTTTATTTGTAGGGCAGCTGTGGCTGAGTGGTTAGAGCAATCGTCCTCCAATGCATGAGTTGTGGGGTTCGATTCTACCAGCAGTCACATGCTGAAGTGTCTCTTGGCAAGACACTGAACCCCTCATTGCCTCTGATGTGTGTCCCATCAGTGTATGAATGTGATAAAGCTCTGATTAGTCTTTGTAAAGATTTAGTAGAGTGCTGTATGGATGGGTAAATGAGGACAGATTGTGTTGTAAAGAGCTTTGAGTGTCTTGATAAGATGTTATTTAAGTTCAGTCCATTTACCATTTATTGTCATTCACATCACATGTGGTACATGAGGTGGAACAAACCTGTGTACTCACCTTGTGTACTATCTCTGTCAGTTTACTTAAATTGAGCTAAAATTGATCATGTTAGTAGCTGAGAGTCATTCACAAAACGTACTTTGGTAAGCGCTAACACATTATATAAGCTATCCTAAAGCATGCTCAATAATCTGCTGTCAGTTTGCTCTGTTCACGCTCAGCAACCGTGTCGAGCTGTTCGATGAAGCGGTCCGCTTGGCGTCAGATCTGTTGACTCGTATCCAAAATCCAGCTTTAACTTGTTGTTAAGTTGTTGTTATTGGGCTTTCTGCCTAGAGGAAAGTCCTTACAGAGAGCAGTCCCAGGCAGCATGTGCATTAGGTGAATGTACAAAATTCACAGCACCATCTGGCATGACCTGGCATGGCAACTATAGCGGATTCAGGGGAAACGTAAACACAGAAACTGCTCCGTGTCAACACGGATTTTTTCCTCGAATCAACATCTGAAAAACCCTGTGTCCCCCCACTGTGTCCATATTAATGGGGCCATCCCACTCCTCTCCCACCTGAGCCTTGTTAGGGCATTTGTTTGCTGGTCTCAGAGAGGAGTTCTGGTCATATTACAGTGTGAATGAAAGGAAAAGTGTCTGGGTGTCAGGGTTAAGACTCTTTCATGTCTTTAAAGATGAAATCTTTACCTTTGGTTATGTTGTTTGATGTAAATTTATTTCTTTCACCCTCCTCACAAACCATCTGTATTCTTGTATTAACATTTTTTCCTCAAAAGAGTGCTTCTTGACCTTCAAAGTAGGTGCACAGCTCTGATACTTGTGTGATCCAAGAAAAACCTGCTGGCTTCTGCAGTAATGTACTGTAACAAAACCACAACAGAAAAAACTTTTTTACTGTTCTTAAGGTGGCCTGTATTAGGCTGTGCAAGTTAGTTCGCTGTGGCAACCCCTGAATAAGGGAGCAGCCGAAAGAAAAAAAAGGTGGCCTGCATTAAAAGACAAATAAAAAATAATCAGTTAATTTCTCAATAGCAAAACCACAAAGCAGCAGCTTCCAGTGGTTGTTCACTAACACAAATGACAGAAAGCTTCACAATCCTCCCAAGTTTTCCTAAAATGGCATAAGATAAAATGGTTCAACAAAACATTAAGGATACTAATGACAAATTCACAGCTTATCTCTGGACTTCTGTTGTCGTGCACGCTCTTTATTCAATACAGTGTGATTTTGCTGACAAGTATACTCTCTGATAGATGTTTTTTTAATTCTCTAACAAATCATTTAAGATGGCAGATTTATTGATTTCCACTCATTTTACTCCATGTAGCTGATCTGTGAGCGTGAACCAAAAAAGTCTGTGCTCAATAATCCAGGGCTGGCAACTTTCGAGTAAGCTGATTGGGGGAAGAATCAGTTTTGTGTTGTGTATTTCCTTGACTGATGAAGCCTTCCGGATGGAAGGTGAAACGTTTCAGAAAAAAAAAAAAAAGAAACTGTCCAGATGACCTGACTGAAAATTGTTGGATTGTACACCTGGATAATAGAGCATGGACTTTTTTGGTTTTGAACCAGTTTGACAAGACTGTCGACGAGGAAGAGGGCCAGCAACAGAGGAGGGGGCGTGCCAAAGACACCATCTTAGCACCAACATAACTGGTTTGTTCCACATTGGAGTAAGCTGTTTGGGGGAACAATCAGTTTTGTACTGTGTTTCCATGACTGATGAAGCCTTCCGGATGAAAGGTGAAACTTTTCAGCAAAAAAAAATAAAAAAAACTGTCCAGATGACCTGACTGAAAGTTGTTGGATTGTACACCTGAATTAATGAGCTTGGACTTTTTTGGTTTTTAACCAGTTTGACATGACTGTCAACCAGAAAGAGAGCTGGCAACAGAGGAGGGGGCATGCCAAAGACATCATCTTAGTACCGACATAACTGGTTTGTTCCACTTTGGAGTAAGCTGTTTTGGGGGAAGAATCAGTTTTGTGTTATTTGTTTCCTTGACTGATGAAGCCTTCAGGACGGAAAGTGAAATGTTTCAGAAAAAAAAAAGAAACTGTCCAGATGACCTGACTGAAAATTGTTGCATTGTACACCTGGATTATTGAGCATGGAATTTTTGGTTTTGACCAAGTTTGACATGACTTTCGACAAGGAAGAGGGCCTGCAACAGAGGAGCGGGCGTGCCAAAGACACCATCTTAGCACCAACATAATTGGCTTGTTCCACTCTGGAGTAAGCTGTTTGGGAGACGAATCAGTTTTGTGTTGTATGTTTCCTTGACTGATGAAGCCTTCTGGATGGATGGTGAAATGTTTCAGAAAAAAAAAACTGTCCAGATGACCTGACTGAAAATTGTTGGATTGTACACCTGGATTATTGAGCATGAACTTTTTTTGTTTTGAACAGTTTGACTTGATTGTCGATGAGGAAGAGGGCCAGCAACAGAGGAGGGGGCTTGCCAAAGACACCATTTTAACACCAACATAACTGGTTTTATTCCACTTTGGAGTAAGCTGTTTGGGGGAAGAATCAGTTTTGTGTTGTGCACTTCCTTTACTGATGAAGCCTTCTGGATGGAAGGTGAATGTTTCATCCAAAACAAAGGAACTGTCCATTCCTTAGATATAGAACTTTACTAATTGGCATTTCCATCCTACCATCCATTTTCTTCCGCTTATCCGAGGTCGGGTCGCGGGGCTAGCAGCTTAAGTAGGGAGGCCCAGACTTCCCTCTCCCCAGCCAGTTAGGCCAGCTCCTCCGGGGGAATCCCGAGGCGTTCCCAGGCCAGCCGAGAAACATAGTCCCTTCAACATGTCCTGGGTCTTCCTCTGGCTCTCCTCCCAGTGGGACGTGTCCGTAACACCTCACCATTGAGGCGTTCAGGAGGCAAACTAACCAGATGCCCGAGCCACCTCAACTGGCTCTTCTCAACGTGGAGAAGCAGCGGCTGTACTCTGAGTCCCTCCCGGATGATCGAGCTTCTCACCCTATCTCTAAGGGAGAACCCAGACACCCTTCGGGGAAAACTCATTTCGGCCGCTTGTAACTGAGATCTCGTTCTTTCGGTCACAACCCAAAGCTCATGACCATAGATGAGGATAGGAACGTAGATCGATTGGCAAATTGAGAGCTTCGCCTTTTGACTCAGCTCTCTCTTCACCATGACAAACCTGTACAGCACCCGCTTCACTGCAGACGCTGCGCCTATCTGCCTATCAATCTCACACTCCATTTTTCCCTCATTTGTGAACAAGACCCCAAGATACTTGAACTCCTCTACTTGGGGCAGGGCTTCCTCCCTGACCCAGAGAGGGCACTCTACCCTTTTCCGGCTCAAGACCATTGCCTCGGATTTGGAGGAACTGATCTTCATCCCGACCGTGTCGCACACGGCTGCGAACTGCTCCAGCGAAAGCTGTACATCACGATCTGATGAAGCCAATAGGACCACATCATCTGCAAAAAGCAGAGACACAATCCTAAGGCCACCAAACAGATCCCCTCAACACCTTGGCTGCGCCTAGAAATTCTATCCATAAAAGTTATGAACAGAATCGTGACAAAGGGCATCCTTGGCGGAGTCCAACGCTCACCGGGAACAAGCCCGACTTACTGCCGGCAATGTAGACCAGGCCCTGACACCGGTCATACAGTGACCTAACAGCCCATATCAAAGTGCCCAGTACCCCATACTCCCAGAGTATCCCCCACAGGGTTCCCAGAGGGACGAGGTCGAACGCCTTCTCCAAGTCCACAAAGCACATGTAGACCACTTGGGCAAACTCCCACGCACCCTCCAGGACCCTGCTGAGAGTGTAGAGCTGGTCCAGTGTTCCACGACCAGGACGAAAACCACACTGCTCCTCCTGAATCCGAGGTTCGACTATCCGATGGACCTTCCTCTCCAGAACCACCGAATAGACTTTACCAGGGAGGCTTAAGAGCGTGATCCCCCTGTACAAACCGGATTCCAAAAAAGTTGGGACACTAAACAAATTGTGAATAAAAACTGAATACAGTGATGTGGAGGTGCCAACATCTAATATTTTATTCAGAATAGAACATAAATCACAGATCAAAAGTTTAAACAGAGAATGTATCATTTTTAAGGGAAAAATCTGTTGTTTCCAAATTTCATGGCGTCAACAAATCCCCAAAAAGTTGGGACAAGTCCATTTTTACCATTATGTGGCATCCCCCCTTCTTCTTACAACACTCAACAGACGTCTGGGAACAGAGGAGACCAGTTTCTCAAGTTTAGAAATAGGAATGCTCTCCCATTCATGTCTAATACAGGCCTCTAACTGTTCAATCGTCTTGGGCCTTCTTTGTCGCACCTTCCTCTTTATGATGCGCCAAATGTT